AGAGGCAAAGTTAACCCTGTGATCTCCGTTTTCTGAGTGCAGTTCAGACTTCTCTTCTACCTCAGGCTGCCTCCCACACATTACGGCAGCCTGAGTCTACAGGCCCCTGAGTATTGCAAATGGTCTGTGTTCAACCACAAGGTTGTGTGTTTGAACCCACCCAGCAGCACCACAGAAGAAAGGCCTAAGAGTCTGTTTCCATAAAGATCGCAGCCAAGAAAACTCTGTGGAGATCAGTTCTACTCTATAACATATGGAGTCACCATGAGTCCGAATAGGATGGAAGGCAACAGATCGGGTATTTTGTGAAGGGGGCCTGAGTCTAGAGCTCTGCCTCCAGCTATCACACATGGCCACAGATGTGGCCAACTACACACCTGTCCAGAACCCAGGATTCTCCTGAATCTGAGAACTACCTTTAAATGTGTGCCCTTCTGTGCAGGCTCAGGTATGCAAGGGCTAGAACTGCTCATTTGCCTTCTCTGTGTGGCTAATATTTCATGAGAGGTTTCTGAATGAGTTGGGCAAGAAAGGAACTGTAGCTGGTCCATTGACATCTTTGTCTCTTTGGGGAATTTTGCAGGTATAGTCCCATCTGCCTTGTTGTGTGTTCAGGGTGAGGAATTTAGGGGAGGAACATCTCACTGAAGTCCTGCTGACACCAAAGCAAAATCCGTTGCCCTCAAGTTGATTCTGACTCGTAGCAACCTTGTAAGGAGAGAGTAGAGTTGTCCACATAGGGTTTCCAAGGCTGTGACAATTCTTTCTCTTATGGAGCAGCTGGTGAGTTCAAACCATTCACCTTTTTGTTAGCAGCCAAGTGCTTAAATATTCATCACTGGGGCTCCTTAAAGTCTTACCTCTGGGAAAACATGTCATTTAGTTCTTTATTCAGCTAGGATTTACCTTACAGGTTCAGAGACTTTGCTAGGATACAGAAATAAATGGTCAATCCTAGACATCCTAAAGAAACCAATTGTTGCAATTCACTGGAAAGGAGGTATAATAGATGCATTTATTGTTCATGGGGTGTGATCCTTACTCAGCATTTCTCCTTTAGGTTCAGAGCAGCCTGACTGCAAGCATTCTGAGCTGTTTATCTGCTGTAGTGGGTCTCATTCTGCTCCTTATCAACCTGCTTGCTTTGGGCCATGCCTCCTGGCAGTGTGAGTTGGACATGCAGGTTTTGCCAACCTCATATTACAGATATCATGATGATATGGAGTGCTCCATGGCCACCACCATTTTGACTGTAAGTATTTTTCGATAGGATCTTCCAACCTTATGAGGTTTCTGAGAGTCTTGATTTCTTGTTTTCCCTTCTTTTGAAAGCTTTTCTATTCTTTCTAGTGCGGGCATCTAGGGGAAGACCAGGGCTACGTAAAGGAAAGGGGAGGATGCAGCTGAGATAAATGTGCTGAGTAGAACTGGAAACCAAATGTGAAATAAAGTTGATGATGAAAAACCTAAAATTTCTTGTTGGTGGAGACCCTTAATAATCAAATTGATACTCTTGTTAGAGACAGAAAATATAGGTTCATCAAACCAAGAACGTTGGTGTATGGAATAAGGAATTAAGAAAGGTAAAGATAGCAGAAAGGTCCACATGACCAGGAAATGCCAACAAAGAAACCTGCTATGTGTTTGTGGTAGGGTGCTAACTTTGACTGAGTAGACACAAGACCCAGCACTGAAGAATGCAGAGGTTTGGAAGTGAAGCCTACTCCTTCCAATGGTCACAGTGATGAGTAGAACTCATCAGGTGAGAAGCAACACCTTGCTCATTTGTTATAACTTACAGAGGTAGACTTTTTAAAAGTAGAAGATAAGAAACATAGGAAGATGGAGAATGTGTGATGATTGGAAGGGAATTCTATCTTATTGGAGGAAGGAAAGCAAAGAAGTTTGGCTAAAAGAAATATGTCTTAAGTTGGAACATCAAGGGACACATGTATGGTCAGCAACACACTGAGTAAGAAAAAAAAAAGACATGAAAATAAAGAGGTTGTGGAATTTTGACTTTAATTGTGAGATCAGCCAAAGGCACAATCACAGGATGGCTAGATAAATAGAAAGGTCTGGGTAAAAGCTCAAGCTTCCACACCATTCCTTGTAGGGCTAGCTCCAGGTGCTTCTCCCAGTTAATGATATCAGAACGAGAAAAGGAATATGCAAATTAAGTTAATACAAAGCAACAGATGACAGAGCTAGTACCTCCTGGGGAGTCTGGAGAGGAATTCAGGAGGTTAAAGTATGAATTCATGATGGGGTAATTTTACATTATAAATAAAAGGGTTTCTATTGAGCTTGTTTTCAGGGACAATGTCGTAAGTTGCATCTCTTCTTTACCTGTATGTCCATAAAATTTGTGCAATCAAATTGCCTCTGCTGTTCTATTAGGTGGATAGCTGAGCACGAGGGACAACTCAGAACACAAATGGTGACCCTCAAGCTCTTGAGAGAGTGCTTTTATTAATTTATTTTTTTGAGTTGATTTGGGTTGTTAGCAACTTTGGCAGTTTGCTATCTTGATTATTCTAACTCTAATGTCCATCAGGGAGCTCTGGTAGCATAGTGGCTAAGGCACTTGACTGCTAACCAGAAGGCTGGAGGTTCAAACCCACCAGCCACTGCTCGGAAGGAAGGTTGGGCAATCCAAGAAGGGGTTGCTATGTGTTGGGGCCAACTCCACGGCACATAACAACAACAACAACAGTGTCCATCAAGAAAGACCAGGGAAGTTCATCCAAAGGGACTAAGATATATAGAAGACACCCACTTTTTACCAAGGGCTTGCACAATCTACCTTATGGGACCTTCACAATCTCTGAGAAGGAAATACTCCTATGCACCTTTAACAAAGGAAGAGACAGAAGCTACAAGTAGAGAGACATGCCCAAGCTCACAAAGCTACTTCAGCGATCAAGGTGAGGCTAGTCCTGCTCAGTCCTGGAGGTTAGTTACTCCACCTGCTCTGCTCCTCAATGAGTAACAACATGGTCAGAGCCAGCCATGTCCCAGAGACCTAAGACACAAGTGTGTAATGTAGGCTGACTTGATTAGTGTCTCCCCCACTTTCCTCTCCAGATTATGGCGTGAATTGCTCATTGAATTGACCCAAGTACTACACTTGGAGTGAGTGGTTTTCTCTTCCTCACTTCATAGTCTCATGGATTAAAAAAATAAAAAAACCTCACTGCCATCAAGTCGATTCAACTCATAACGACCCCTCCTTGGGTTTCTGAGGCGGTATCTCTACAGAAGTAGATTGCCCAACCTTCCTTCTGAGGAGTGGCTGGTGGGTTTGAACCACCAGCTTTCTGGTTAGCAGTCAAATGCTGTAGGCACTATGCCACTAGGGCTCATGGATAAGGCAGTCTTACCCATGCAGTCACCTTCTAACAAGACGTGAGGGTCAGATCTTGAGCACCACTGACCTTGTGTTTCCTGACTTTCAGGGGCTATTGTCTATAATGCTGATATTCTCTGTGCTGGAGCTCTGCCTTGCTGTGCTTTCTACCATGCTTTGGTGGAAAACGGCTCACTCTGACTTCCCGGAGGTGAGTATGCTGGTGGCCTCATCGAGCTGTGCCCGGTGGACCTCAACTTCTGGGCTGTGTTGAACTCTGTCAACAAGAGTGGCAGAAGGAAGAGTTGTCTGGTCATGAGTTAGCTACACATGAGAGTGGTTATTTACTTTTTCCTTCCTGTACATCTCTTTTTATTAGAATAGAAACAGAAACTTACTAGCACATCAGTTTAAGACAAAGAATCTGCTAGATCCATGATTTGATTAATAATTCTTTGGCTAAAGGAGAAGCAGGCAAAATAAAATGAAACCCCTTTTAGCAAACAATAAAATCCAGAAACTTAAGCAGCTGGACTACAGATTCAAGACTAAATGCCACTGTACGAGATCATTCATTAGGAAGGCTTGGAGAAGGATGGTTGCATTCCACACTGGATGATGTCGACAAGGAAGTTCTTACAGATAACAACAGCAAAAGACAAATTTTATGATGATTTGAAAAGAACAGAACTAGAAAGTAAGAAGATATCAGAAACACACAAACAACAAAAATCAATTGCCAAAATCAGTTCCAACTCATGGTGACCTCATGTGTGTCAGAGTTATACAGTGCCTTATAGGGTTTGCAGTGCTGGTTATTTATTTATTTGAAATAGATAGTGAGGCCTTTCTTCCCAGGTATCTCTGGGTAAACTCAAGCTACAACATTTTGGTCAGCAGCCAAGCAGCCTTTGCTCCACTCAGGGACTCCAATCAAGGTACAGGGATTTTTAGTTGAATGTTGGATACGGCACCAAAAGTCATATTTTGACATCGTAAAATACCTGGGGCTTAAGCATTGCTCAATCTGGGAAGCTGAGCCAGAAAAAAATGCAACAGAGCAGCATTGTCTAGGATCATAGGCAAAGCAGCTACAAAAACACAAGGTATTATTTGCGATACATGTATTGAAATTTTTTTAAATGTTCCCTTGGGACTGCTGAGTCCTATATGTTGTTGTTGTTGTTT